CTCGTGATGGTAGAGGTAAACTCAACACAGCTTCAAGAGTAGATGCGATAAGGTCCTTGAAGACTGCAGTCAATGATGTCAATCACTGTAGTCAAGGAGGCAGGGCCAGGAGCTGAATCTCGTCCCTGCATATACAGCTCGGTGAGTACACACAGTGTTGACCTGAACTGAGTAGTCCTTGGTAGGGAATGCGTCAAATCACTGTCTGTTGATTAAGTATGACGTATTGCGTAGTTGCCGCACAACGCAAGGGGGTTGCGGACGGCTTTCCTGTGTGTGCAATGGAAAGCCACTTTGTGTGTTGCAATTGTGAGTGCAACACTGGAGGGTGTTTGTGTTTACTCACCCAGTTGTGTGCACCAGGGTGGAGTCTCGTTACCTGTGTACTAGTCTGGTTGTGGGTGCAGGTGTCGAGTCACGGCTCCTGGCTACGCCTCTTAACTCATACCAACCAGAGTCACAGATTTTACACACTTTTGACAGATGTGGCCGTGGAGTAGCAACTTATAAGATAAGGTCAGTAAGTGTAAGAAGGGGCAAGGAAGTATATGGTTACTTACATAAGAACATAATAAAGAAGGAATACTGCAGCAGCCCTACTGGCCCATGCGAGGCAGGTCATTACACTTCCAAGAAATAGATCAGCAGGAGTGGACGTAAACAAAAGAAAGTTGTGTGGGAAAAGACACTTAGTTCAGGACATTTATTAAAGGAAACGTTGCACCACTCGTGGCTTCTTCAGTACTAATACAGAGATAACTAAGAAAACGGGTATATATAGTGGCAAGAGTCAGGTGGGAAGCCGCGAGGGTAGTAGTAGTGGTGATGGTGCTAGCTAGCACCATCACTGTTTCTCATCTTCACTGCAGACACAGCTAGCACCATCACTGTTTCTCATCTTCACTGCAGACACAGCTAGCATCATCACTGTTTCTCATCTTCACTGCAGACACAGCTAGCACCATCACTGTTTCATCTTCACAGCAGACACAGCTAGCATCATCACTGTTTCTCATCTTCACAGCTAGCACCATCACTGTTTCTCATCTTCACAGGAGACATAGACGAGAGCGTCATCTACACGATGCCACAACAGAGCATCAACACTGTATCAACGTCCGTGGCTCCAGACTGTTCAGCATCTTACATACCTGGAGGTTACCTGGAGGTTATTCCGGGGATCAACGCCCCCGCGGCCCGGTCCATGACCAGGCCTCCCGATGGATCAGGGCCTGATCAACTAGGCTGTTACTGCTGGCCGCACGCAGTCCGACGTACGAGCCACAGCCCGGCTGATCCGGCACTGACTTTAGGTATCTGTCCAGCTCTCTCTTGAAGGCAGCCAGGGGTTTATTGGCAATTCATCAGAAACACTGTTGGGACAAATGTAGAAATCTTCAAGAGGAAACTAGTCAAGTATCTTCACCAGGTGCCAGATTAACCAGGCTGTGATGGAAATGTGGGTCAGCGGGCCGCTAGCAGAAACAGCCTAGTTGGCCAGGCAAGCACCAGACGAGGCCGGGCTCCGAGAGTAGAAAAACTCCCGGAACTCGTCAAAGGTATCAAAGGTACATGCGAAAAATCACTTAGAAGACACAGAAGAAGTTACAAACATGTATCACCAGTTTTGCAAAGGACAAAGGAAATACGGTGTCTACTGGAGTTTACCTGGAGAGAGTTCCGGGGGTCAACGCCCCCGCGGCCCGGTCTGTGACCAGGCCTCCTGGTGGATCAGAGCCTGATCAACCAGGCTGTTGGTGACAATTTTAAAAAATTTCGTTATGGGAAAAAAAATTAAGAATAAATATGAGCGTAGTATAAAGAGCACTATGTCACGGAATATAGATAAAGGATTTGGGAATAATTATGTCAAAGGATATATTATTTGGTAAACACAATAAGGTAAATGCATTTAAAAGCCAGAAAGAATGAGAGAGTGGGTAAGGAGAACCTTCGCAACAAGAGAAACAAAGCCAGTGATGATGCTGTTCATAACACTTCTGCTCTCATGTACTGAATATTGTTGTGTGTTCACAGCGAGTTTCAAGGCAGGAGAGATATCAGCGCTGGAAAATGTACAGAGGTCGTATACCGTAGAGTCAATCAAACATGGAAACTGTTGGGTACACCTGAGAGTGACTTGCGTTGGACTGTCTGGAGTGAAGGATATGGGGGGAAAGTGCAAACTAAACCCAGCCAGTGTAGAACACAGGCACAATGGGTCCAGTACAAGAACAGTGTGTTTACAAAAACACGTAAGCAAACCCTAGAATATATTTATTAGTAAACGTTTCGGTCCTGGGACCTTGATCACTTCTCTGGTAAATATGTTCTGCTTACTTATCTTTCTAAACCAGTTTATCGGTATCTATTACCAAGGTTTATGCCACGTTGTGTCAACATGCGTGGTCCAAGACTCTTCAACATGCTAACAGCAGATGTCGGAAATACAGCTGGGACGGAGACAGAAGCCTTCAACAAGAAGTTGGACACTTACCAGCTACAAGTATGAGCCAGATTATGATGGCTATGTGGACCCTACTTAACATAAGAACATAAGAAAGAAGGAACACTGCAGCAGGCCTACTGGCCCATGCGAGGCAGGTCCAGGTCTCCTACCGGCTTAAGCCAATGCCCCAACCTAGCAGCAACAGTCTGCTTGTTCAAGTAGTAGGCAGAAGACCCCCTGAAACCGATCACAGGTACACCCAGGTCTCGACCATATCCTTCAAGCTGTGTATCATGTTTCTTCTCCCTTATTCTTAACCTTCCCTATTTCTGTCTTGGTCTTGTTTCCACGTACTGGAAAGTGTTTATAAGTGATGATTATTTATGGTAAGTCATAATTACTAACGACGATGACTGGTAATAACAAGAAGGAATTATAGCAGATAATTGCGAATGTGTGACGGGGGAGGGAGTCCTGGGGGGAGGGAGTCCTGGGGGGGGGGAGTTATTATAGCGTATATGGTCGATATTTGATGTAAGGTATTGCTCCAGATACCTTGTTTTGAAATTATTATTATTATTATTATTATTATTATTATTAAATTATTATTATTATTGTTATATTATTATTATTATTATTATTATTATTATTATTATTATTATTATTATTATTATTATTATTAATTTGTTATTGCTATTATTATTAATTTGTTATTGCTATTATTATTAATTTATTATTACTACTGTTATCAATTTATTAATTTATTTTTATTATTAATTGAAGCACAAAACCCGTGTGGGTCTTTCAGGAGTGATGGAAGTTGACTCTGCCTCCGTGGGTGGGTTGGTCGCTGTACCGAATTCTTTCCCGCTCTCACCCTTCAATTAACCCCTACCCAATCCCCTTCCTCTCTTTCCCTTCCCCTCTTCATCATTTTCCCTTCCCCCGCTCCCCTCCTCCCCCTCCCTCCGCTCCCCTCCTCCCCCTCCCTCCAACAGCCTCGTTCGTCCAGCTTGGGTCGACAACCTCTGCCTTGTTTACTTATCTCTGCTCACAAGTGCGGAAAAATATTCAGGCGTCTGTGGTTGGTGGGTCCGTGTGACGCCAGCTGGGAAAACTACGGACGTCGGGTGTACGTGCGTGGTTCATGGAAGTAGTGGATGTCTTCGTTCATTATTTACTAATGTAACGCATGACATTGCCTTTGGATCAACGGCGCGCGCGCGCGTGTATGTAATATATATATATATATATATATATATATATATATATATATATATATATATATATATATATATATATATATATATATATATATATATATATATATATTGCCGCGGAAAAAAAATATTGTATACTTTGATGCAGAGTGTGCAGGTTCGAATGGATGTTTTGGTGACTGGTTGTCGAGTGATTAGTGGTGGTGGTGGTTACGTAGCCTGGGTGATTAGCAGTGGTAAGGGAGATTTTCTGGTGGTTGGGTTGTTAGTGGAGAGTGAGGCTGGCATTGGCACTATTATCTGAATTATTTTTATCAGTGGCATCCTCGTCATTCCGTCAGGTTTATATATATATATATATATATATATATATATATATATATATATATATATATATATATTGCAAAAAACCACGGGGGGAGTAGAATGATAGCTCTAGGCCTTTCGTGTTGTTACATCCTGTATCGCTTGCTTTGCGACTCCTGAAGAATCGTTTGAAGATTCCTGAATATTCTGAGATCTGTCAGTCTCACATATTCCGACAAAGTTATATAGATTACTTGTCCATCTCTTGATATGTTTGGCCTGATAACTTCCAGATTATATTGCATTTTCTCGGGTTAAAGTTCGGTAGTTACCTTTATCTTCGGTAAAGAGGGACTTGGTACTGGCTCACGAAATCGTAACGGCACGATTGCAAACAGACCACGGTACGGGTGGGGATTGAACTCGCGGTGAGTGAGTCGTAAAACTCCAAGGACTAGGTAGAATCAATCCTTAAGAACAGAGACCGCCAGTCCCAGGACCTATATCTGAGGGGACCAAGTTGCTACCCACTTCTACTATGATAGATGGAGAGGGAGGGGGGAAGTATTGAGTTTCGAGGGGAAGTATTAAGTGGAGAGGGGAATGAGTGTAGAGGTGGGAAGAGTGATGTAAAGGGGGAAGTGTATAGGTTGCAGAAGGTGAAGGGGTTGTAGAGGGGTGGTGTTGGTGAAGGGAAAGTGTGGTTGAATGGAAAGTACGTATGAGGGGAAGGTGTGGTTGAGGGGATAAGGTAAAAGAAGTAGGTTCGTGAATTTGAGGACGAGGGAAATATTGAGGGTGTGAGTCATGTGGGTGTGGTGTTTACCAGACACTTAGTGGTAATTAACTCTTGCAGCGAGGGGTGTCCGTGTCCGTGGCTGGCAAGTACGGTGATACTAACCACCTTAACCACCAACTTCCACCTTCAACACCAAGAATAGCCTTCAAAACTTCCACCTTATTCTATACTTAACACACACGAACCTCGCGATCTCTTCCTTATTGTCACCTCTCTTATTTTGCAGAGTTATGTGGTAAAGAGATGAGACGAGAGATGGTTGTAACGCTGCTGGTGGTGGTGGGCGTGATGCTGGTGGGCGTGAGTGACGCCCACGTCGCTCTCACCTTCCCTCCCGCCCGCAAATATAACCTAGACTTCCTGGACACCTTCAGAACCCAGGCGCCGTGTGGCATGCCCAAAGGTGAGTATCTTACCATGTTTGAGTTCTCCTCCAGTCTGGTCTCGCAGAACTGCGTTCTATAGCTGGATAAATTTAGATTTAGAAAGGGTATGGGAAAGCACTGGTTGCGTAACAGAGTTGTGGATGAGTGGAACAAAGTTGTAATGAATGGTTTGAAAAACCGACAAGATGAAGATTGAGACACTTATGCAGCATATGGGAATTTTTATTCAGGAAACGTTTCGCCACACAGTGGCTTCATCAGTCCAATACAAAGAGGAAGGCGTAAGGAGAGGAGGGGTCTGAGGTAATCAGTCCCTCAGCCCTCCTCTCCTTACGCCTTCCTCTTTGTATTGGACTGATGAAGCCACTGTGTGGCGAAACGTTTCCTGAATAAAGATTCCCATATGCTGCATAAGTGTCTCAATCTGGAACAAAGTTGCAAGTAGCGTCACATTGGACAGGTTCGCGAGTGGGTGTGAGATGGACCTGCCTAGCTTGGACCAGCAGGCCTGCTGCAGTCTTCTGTTCTTAGTTCAAGTTAAAAGCCAATTAGGCATATATATAATTATTTACAAATATTCCCGGCCGGGTGGAAATGTTGGTCATGTTTCCTTACATCTGCTGTCCCTGTTCACCTAGCGGTAAGTAGGTACCTGGGCGTTAGTCGACTGTCGTGGGTCGCATCCTGGGGGTGGTAGTGTACCTCAGATAGTGCTGGGCTTTGATTTGAGCTGTGGTAAGATAACAGCACTTAAAATTGATACGCGTAGAAAAAAAATACACGTGTCTGCCAGTGTAAGAATCAAAAGGGGTCGAGGGTGTGATTTCTTCCAAGAGCGTTCATTCACCTTATCCCCTGGGCTACACATGTTACAATCTTACATTGTGAAATCTTGGTTCTTGATTACCTGTAGACTGCCTGTAGTCACCTAGACCTGTAGTCGCTTCTCTGGAGGGAGGAGGGGGGGGGTCGCTGTCCCCGCTGCCTGGCTCTAAATCAAGCCTCCAGATTGCTTGCCTGATCGAGCAGGCTATCTCTCCTTAGCCTCTGGGTAAAGTCTAGTGAACACTGAACAGTGTTCGGTAAATTTATCGACAATGGTACGTGTTTAGCATCCAAACACTGAATAATACTGATTGCAGTTTGTTTTTTCAATGTTCATTGTGGAATGGTGGTGGTTAGTCCAGGTGTTTCCTGAAGAATAGAACGGCACAATACCGTAACTGGAACAGTGTGTAACTACTTAATGGTCCAAGTCTGACCGAAACGTCATTATCATAAATTTCAGTCCCCTAGAGTTTGAATTAATACACTTTGGCTGCATTGATAAGAAACACAAATATCAAGTGTCTGTATAACAGCTGACTGAGACACAGGAAAAAGAACATTGATGTGATCATTAGTAACGACCTTAAGCAAATACACAAGGTATGACTGTGGTGACAGAAATAACACAAGGTGTGACCTTGGTAACGAGGTTGCCTGTGCTTCGTTCCATAGATCTAGATTAACATGGCGGAAAACGGTAATGCAGGGTAGTGGTCAGACCGCATCTTACATAACCACATCCTTAGATAGTAATGTCTCTGTGCGTCTGTAAGCCTGTGTGTGTTTGTAGTGAAGATGATGGATTTTTTGGTTTCATAACCTCACCCCTACCACAACCTCACCCCTACCACAACCTCACCTCTGCCACAACCTCACGTCTACCGCAGCCTCACCTTTACCTTTACCAGTATGCAGTGGAGAAAAGCATAATGTTCAGTGGTGATAAGTTCCAGCTACTTAGGATTGGAAAGAATGGAGAACTCAAAGGGAAAACCGTATACAGAACTCAAGAGGGTCGTCAAATAGAACGAAAGGAACACTTGCAAGACTTGGGTATAATTATGTAGGCTGACCTTTCTTTCAAAGAACATAAGACAAAAGTCACGACAGCCAGGAGGATGACGGGGTGGGTAAGGAGAACCTTCAAAACAAGGGAAATAATGCCAGTGGTGACATTTTTAAAATCCCTAGCGCTCCTTCATTTGGAAAGTTGCTAAGTGTTGACAGCCCCGTTAAGAGCAGGAGGAATATCAGGGCTGGAACAATTTCAGAGATTGTTTACGGGGAACGCCTTGAAGTCTTAAATATGTACTTACTGGAGGGGAGGAGAGAGAGAGATACATGACAATATGTACCTGGAAAGTACTGGAGGTCCTTGTCCCTAATCTGCACACTGCATTAATTAACAACGTACTGGAGCGAGAGATATGGCAGGAAGTGCAAAATAAACATAATGAAAAGCAGGGGTGCGGTGGGCACAATAAGGGAACACTGTATCAACATCCATGGCCCCAGATTATTTAACATCTTACCAGAAGATATCAGAAACACTGCTGGAACAAGTCTTTAAGAGGAAGGTAGATAAGTATCTTCACCAGATCAACCAGGCTGTGGCGGGTATGTGGAACTGTGGGCCTTCAGCAACAACAACCTGTTGAAGAATTGAGACACTTATGCAACACATGATTCCCATGTGTTGCATAAGTGTCTCAATTCTTCAACTTGTCGGTTCTCAAAACCATTCATCACAACAACAACCTGGTTGACCAGGCTAGCACCAGACGAGCCTGGCCCGCCCACAATCTCACCTCTGCCATAACACTTGCCCAAAACCTCATCTCTGCCACAGCCTTACTTCTGTCATAACACCTGCCCAAAACCATCTCTGCCACAACCTCATCTCAACCACAACACTTGATAGACCTGTTCTTGGTGCCGCTGCTCGGTCGACGGCTGGTCTACAAGGTCACCTTCCACCTTGTCTTACTCCAGCACTAGTCGACGTCACTCACTCGACACCACTCACTTGACACCACTCGACACCACTCCCTCGACACCACTCCCTCGACACCACTCCCTCGACACCACTCACTTGACACCACTCACTCGACACCACTCACTCGACACCACTCCCTCGACACCACTCACTCGACACCACTCACTCGACACCACTCCCTCGACACCACTCACTCGACACCACTCACTTGACACAACTCACTCGGCACCACTCACTTGACACCACTCACTCGACACCACTCACTCGACACCACTCACTCGACACCACTCACTTGACACCACTCACTCGACACTACTCACTTGACACCACTCACTCGGCACCACTCACTTGACACCACTCACTTGACACCACTCACTCGACACCACTCACTCGACACCACTCCCTCGACACCACTCACTCGACACCACTCACTCGACACCACTCACTTGACACCACTCACTCGACACCACTCACTCGGCACCACTCACTTGACACCACTCACTCGACACCATTCACTTGACACCACTCACTCGACACCACTCACTCGACACCACTCACTTGGCACCACTCACTTGACACCACTCACTCGACACCACTCACTTGACACCACTCACTCGGCACCACTCACTTGACACCACTCACTCGACACCACTCACTCGACACCACTCACTCGACACCACTCACTCGACACCACTCACTCGACACCACTCACTTGACACCACTCACTCGACACCACTCGACACCACTCACTTGACACTACTCACTCGACACCACTCACTCGACACCACTCACTCGACACCACTCACTTGACACCACTCACTTGACACCACTCACTCGACACCACTCACTCGACACCACTCCCTCGACACCACTCACTTGACACCACTCACTCGACACCACTCACTTGACACCACTCGACACCACTCACTTGCAAACACTCACTCGACACCACTCACTTGACACCACTCACTCGACACCACTCACTTGACACCACTCACTCGACACCACTCACTTGACACCACTCACTCGACACCACTCACTTGACACACTCACTCGACACCACTCACTTGACACCACTCACTTGACACCACTCACTCGACACCACTCACTTGACACCACTCACTTGACACCACTCACTCGACACCACTCACTCGACACCACTCACTTGACACCACTCACTCGACACCACTCACTTGACACCACTCGACACCACTCACTCGACACCACTCACTCGACACCACTCACTTGACACCACTCACTCGACACCACTCACTTGACACCACTCACTCGACACCACTCACTTGACACCACTCACTCGACACCACTCACTGACACCACTCACTTGACACCACTCACTTGACACCACTCACTCGACACCACTCACTTGACAACCACTCACTCGACACCACTCACTGACACCACTCACTTGACACCACTCACTCGACACCACTCACTTGACAAAACTCACTCGAAACAACTCACTTGACACCACTCACTCGACACCACTCACTTGACACCACTCACTTGACACCACTCACTTGACACCACTCACTCGACACCACTCACTTGTCACCACTCACTCGACACCACTCACTTGACACCACTCACTTGACACCACTCACTCGACACCACTCACTTGACACCACTCACTTGACACCACTCGACACCGTTCACTTGACAACACTCACTTGACACCACTCACTCGGCACCACTCACTCGACACCACTCACTTGACACCACTCACTCGCACCACTCACTTGACACCACTCACTCGGCACCACTCACTTGACACCACTCAATCGGCACCACTCACTTGACACCACTCACTCGGCACCACTCACTTGACACCACTCACTCGGCACCACTCACTTGACACCACTCACTTGACACCACTCGACACCACTCACTTGACACCACTCACTTGACACCACATCACTTGACACCACATCCACTCGACACCACTCACTTGACACCACTCACTCGGCACCACTCACTTGACACCACTCACTCGGCACCACTCACTTGACACCACTCACTCGGCACCACTCACTTGACACCACTCACTCGGCACCACTCACTTGACACCACTCACTTGACACCACTCGACACCACTCACTTGACACCACTCACTTGACACCACTCACTCGGCACCACTCACTCGACACCACTCACTTGACACCACTCACTCGGCAC